CATGACATATATATTAAAAAAAAATAAAAAACCTAGTGTCATAAACCTTGCATCATGATGATGATATGAGATTCAAAATTTTATTTTCTGAAAGCATACAACTATTATAAGGAATAATTTATTTATTTTCCTTGTTATATATAATGATTGTTATCTCTTATGAAAACAAATCAAATGTTCAGTAACCAAATGTGATTGTTTTGGGTGATTGCACACGTTTTTCAACTAACACTAAGTAAGTAAAATGATGTTATAAATTTATAGGTTAAAAAAGTTAATGTAGTGGTCAAGTTAAAAATATAATTTATGGAAGTATGATAAATAATATTAAATTTTTATATTTTATTTTATTTTATTGCGCTGTATATGATCGCAGATGATCAGTGAATTCATGTGTAGCAGTTCTTAAGAATAACAATTTTCAAACAAGCAAGTTTCCTTTCAAGTTTGTGTTGGTCACGTAGAAAAATATTCCGGCTTTTATAAAAATCATGTTAATCAAATATTATTTATAAACATGTGTTGTTGTGGAAGGTAAGATGGCCGCGATTATAAGTGTAGACTGTAAACGTTATGAAATGATCTTCATAATATATAACTGTTAAAGATTTATATGATACAAGACCAAAATAAATGCCATATATTTTCTCCAATATTATTATATATATAATGTTATTATGATTACTACGAAATGATTTTTGATCACCTAGGTTCATATTAATATCCTTATTGTAACACAGTATGCGTCATATGCAAACAAATATATGATTTAGGGCAAACAAATGCCATTTTCTACTTGAATACTCTGAAGTTACCACTAATACTCTTGTTATGATTTGGTATTAATCATCTAGGTTTACAAAAATTATCCTTATTGTAACATAATATGTGTCATAGGATAGTGATTTATTTTTATAAAGCGTCTACATCATCACATGTCGATTCTTGTATTAAATTTGATAACTGAAAGATGTTGGTAAATCTAACTTTTACATGATGCAACAATGACTTTCTTCTTGGTAAAACAGGAAAATAAAACTTGCTATAATTTAATCATAATGTACTATATGTTGAAAATACTTTCTACATTTCCTTGAGAAGGTTGGTTTGTTATAGTATATACTATAGAATGTATTTTTGGCCTATTACAATTAAAATGATGACTAGCCCTACTCAATGCACTTTGAAAAAAGTCATAATGAATCAAATAACTAGTGTTACTGTTGAGAATTTTGTTCGTGAGAATGGATTACAAAACTCACTTTGAAAAAAAGAGGTGCATCAAGGTAAAGTTTGAGCTTTAACTGTTAAGCATTTGCAAGGTTTTATAAATTGTGCTAAGCTTCAACTTACAAACGTTTTGAATAGTTTGTCTTAATTTGTTGGACTCGTTAAAAGGTTTAGATTGATTGCTTAACGAATCAGAATCAATCATTCAATATAAATTTTATTTTCATATTTAATCCACAGATATCAATGTGAATAACACTTGATTGACTTTAAACGCAATTGATAATTTATGGTAGGTTTTGAAAAGTACTTTTGTAAGTTAGACCATCAAATCTGCCATCTAAAAAATAAGCAAAAGTACAACATGTCAAAACTGTTAGTTCGACGTGAGATCAAATTTACTTGAAATATTTAAAAAATAATATTTGTTTGATGGAAAGATTTTCTAACTCTTTGATTGAACACGTTAAACGAAGCTGAAACTTTTGACTTTAACATACCTCCATGTAATTCGTAGTATCTAATGATAAGCACATCAACGAGTTTGAAGTTTAGACAGAACAAAAATATTAAACTTGTCATAAATGAAAAGAATGTAGAATTTACTTCTAACTAAACAGTAATTTTATTCGCATGACCCTCGTACTCCTTACTGTTCTTAGCCAAGCCACCGCTGTATTTTACCATGGCAATCTTCACTCGCGGAGTGAAAGTAGGTGAATGATCTTCGTCTGCCCTGGTCGATTGGTATACAGGCTACAATAAGCTATTTTTCTGCGCTTTTTCCAGCAACAAGTTCTTGCACATATTTGATTCATGCACAGGACTTGGAGAAACAGCGGCCCATTGTTCGTATGCTTTAGTGCATCTAGCGCGAATTTGCAATTTGAGTTCTAGAGTTCTAGCATCCTTGACGAAGTGGACGACAGTACGAAAAGTAGTAAATGAGTGAAAATAAATTATTTTACTCCAACGGCACAAAAAAGAAATTTCAATGTTTAGCAGAATTTTTCTAGTGGCCGCCATCTTGTTCGACATATAAGATGGCCGCCACTTAGTTTGAGGAAGGTAGATACGATGTAGTCATATGCGCGGGACGTGATAACAATGTGTTTTGAAAGAGTCAAATCAAAAGCAAGTGCAAGGTCATGAGTTCAGGCAAGATGTTGAAGACAAAACCGTCCACATATAACGATAACATCTAGAGAGATTCTCGTTAGTGTTTTGTCAACAAGAGGCTACATGAAGATTGACAATCACTCAACACACAATCTGAGTACATGTCCAGGTGGAGGTGATTGTGAGATGCACAATATGGTGTAGGACTGAAGTATCAGCTTCAAATCTGGATGATAGTTATGGTCTTTATCTCACTATGTCAACTTGTTTGTGAAAAAATCACATCTGAGGATTACGGTTATGAGCTTCATTGTTTTTTTCTTTTTAGATGATCCATTTTCACTACCAATCGCCAAAAAAATATGTTTTGGAATCTTAAACTTGTTGTTCCGTGAACAAACTTGTACCTATCCTTTTATTTTTCAAGCTTGTACTCATGGGAGGGCAAATGTTCAAGTTGAAGTCCTTCAACACTAATACGGACTATCTGAGCATGTGAACCTGCATGTGGTATGGACTGCAATAGTCTCATATTGCCAAATAAAAATTGTTGATGTGTGTACGGTCAATATAACATTTGTTCTCGGAGCCAAGTCGTTCCTTTTTTTAATATTTGCTTCTAACGTGGACTTGAAATAATGTCTTAGTTCATAATTTCATATCTCTCCTTAGAGCAACACTTTGTGCATATTATGTGCTATATATCTACAAAAAGTTTTCTAAATGCACTGCTGTATAAGGTCAAGGTTAATTATCGATCAAAGTCTATGAACAAACATATCGATACTTGATGGTGTACACTTTGCAAAATATTCACTTTCGCATAGCTATCATGGTTAAAAATCTGAGTGGTGTGAAGTTTGAATCTATTCACCAGTTTGCGTCAATTTGAAGTTTGATTTATACCACGTTGAAATCTGCAAGTGGTGTGAAGTTTTTGGTGACTATCAAAAACCAAACAGAAAAAAAAAACTCACACTCCATACAATCATGGTTAAGACTGGACAGAATGTTTCAGTAATTGGATCTTGTGTACTTATTGTCACATAATACCGTATTCTGCTCATTTACACAACTACGAACAGCAAAGGTCTAGGTTGCCCATAATGACACATGCTAAGCTCTAAGTGATAAGTTTGTGATAGTGTCTACTAATTTTGATCAGTATCAAATTTTTCTTAGCTCTGGATTTCTTGTAGGAGTTCATTATAATTATTTCTTGCCTTATCCTCCTTTGAATTCGAGCAGGCTCATTCCAATTTGCATGATCTTCCTAGGTTCATGTTAATTTCTCATGATCAGCGTATGAGCAAAGCTTAAATTACTCTGGTTCACTCCTCTTGCACCGCGCTGGAAGTCTCATGCCCAACACGCACAAAAAGTTCTGACAAAAAGTTCAGTTTTTTTAGTGAACTGAGCTTGAGGATTATGAAACTAACTTTGATACTAAGTTTCAAAGAGAAATTACAAGAACACCATCCAAACCAAAACACACAGCAAAGTTCAAATAACACAATAGACTCATTGCCGACACATAACATGTTTCGTCTAACATTTACTAAAAAAATTGTTGCTGTGCTCCTGGGCGAGCTAGATCTCGCCGCGCTTTGTAGTCCGAACAAATTGAAGCCCAAAATCCTAATACTAGTTTCTTGGAAAACCAGCCAACAGAAATTATCACTAACATTGACATTTAGTTGATTGTGCCATGAAATTAAAAGTAATTATCTTCAGTGAATATGACAAGTGGAAAAATTTGTAGTTTTTTTATTTATATTCAAGGTCAAAAAGTATTTAAATTTATTATGCTGAAATTTATGACGTTGTGTTACAATGTACAGGTGGACAACATTTTTTCACTACTGCAACAATGTATCTACGCAGGTAAGTTTGAATTAACATCAATAGATATAACGATTTTTGTGATTTGCATCGGGTTTGCTGATTAAGTATGCTTGCATAAGAATGAAATTAATTTTCTTACACTTGCGTTCTGATAATGGATGAGAATATATTCATTATAATGTTTCATGTAAAATCGAAGGACCTTTTGCAACATCCAATAATAATCTCATGCCAAAAGCAGTGAGATGTGTAATATTACATAGACAAGTTAAACCATCTACACCTTCTAAAGTTAAAGAAAATATTTATAATACGTGGCATTAAAACGTATAGAGTTTGTTTCTTATTTGCATACCTTTGAACTTCGATGCGTTTTTGAATCTTTCGCCTCACTCACAGGAATTGTGGCTCCCTGGTCTATTTGTGATGCTATTCTCTTCTTTCAGTATCCACAAATAGCACCTTGAATCCTTGCAAAGCGTAAATCATCCACAACAAAACCTCGACAAGAATGCGGGAGTACATTGCTTTCTGGTGTTTCTTTTCTGGCTGCTCTGAAAACCCTTGAAAATCAGATGTCAAAACCCCTCACGCGTGGTACACTACAACTCTGAGAAATATCGTTGGCAGGGGAAGTGATTGTCCGTCCCTCAGAGAAATTCGGAGGAATCGAAACGTGGGAAAATACGACAAGTTTTGCAGTCGGTGGTGGAAGCAAAGCTAAGCGTCCAGGAAGCTAATAAGCAGAAAAGGCCATAACTGCACCTTAAGGGGAGGCACAGTAACCCGCAGCGAGCGAGGGGAGGGCATTTTGTCGCAACGAGGCAGCACTGATCGACTGCCGCTGCTGGCTGGCGCCACTCCATCACTAGTGGAGTGGAGTGGTGCTTCCAATGCAGCCAACGAGCGAATGCCTGCCTGCCTGCCCGCCTGCAGTGAGTGCTGCAAGTGAGGGAGGGAGGAAGGAGGAAGGAGGGGGGTGCGAGGCACACACTCTCTGAGAGAGACAGAGAGACAGACAAAGCGGGGGTCTTCTCATACACTCTCAGGGACGGACAGACAGACAGACAGGAGGCTAGACTGAAGTGCTTGGGCTCCTTGCCGTGTTCTCTTCTGTCACCAGTCCTCACACAAACAAACTTCGGGATTGGAGATCGAGTTTTGGTAGCAGGAGGACGACGAGGCGAGAAGGCCGATTCGAGGGCCCGGATCTCGCTGTTTGTGCTCCTTCGACTCGTGATTTCAGGTATGTGAATGAGTGGCGGGGCAGGGCTGGGCTGGGCTGTGCTCTTTGACCTTGGGACTGGGGTGGGGGCTCGAGCTTTTTCGCCGGTCGGGGATGGAGGACGGTCTGATGCTGTGGCTTCGGGTTTTGGTGCTCTGAGCGTCTTGGTGTGTTGGGGTTTTCTTGTGGATTGGAAGGCTGGGCTAGGATGGGGCTGATCTGGCTTGTGCTGTTGCTTGGGAGCTTTTCGTGGGATTCTGCTGGTCTTGGGGAGTAGATCTTAGCTGTTTGGCCTGTGGAAGTGTGCATTTTGGGGTGGTTCCGGCTGATGCGAGTGGGTTTCTTGCCTTAGGACGTTTGATGGGCTTGACTTGGTTTTTGTAGAAGTTCTGGGTTTGGATAGATTTGAGTAATCGAAATCATCGATCGAGTTAGCTGAAGGAGCTCAGCATTGTGCTTCTGAGAGAGTAAATTAGGATTAGAATTATCCACCCGCTTCTAAAATTTTTCGTCTGGTCATATATACGTAGAGGGCCGAGGCATGGCCAAACTGAAATTCCTCCTGGTGGCTGCTGGCCTCGATCACTTTAATCTATGTCGACGCACTAATGAGCGGAACCTTACGATTTTCTGGATGTCTGCCGTATGTATGCTATTCCTGTCAATGATCTTCTATTGCATGAGCTTATATGTTAACACGAGAGCTGACTTGTACGTGGTGACCGTGCTTTTCAGGCACATGCAGGCCAGGGGACAGTGAAGCGTGAGTGAGGCTTGCATGCTTCACATTGCGGACCATCTTCTGTGGTAGCCCAATTATGAGAAGGCCTCCTCTGTTCTAGGAAGTCAAGTTTATACCGGCTTTTGTACAATTTGAATCCATCAGCGGAAAGCATGAGAGAAAGGCCATCTGCAGTCAAGCCTGTGAAGCCGCCACAGCTCAAGGAACATGATGGAGAAGTGTCTCCCTTTTTGGTTTCAAAACTGCTGAGTCCTGATGCCGACTGGGATCGAGTACGCCTCTTCCCTCACCCCTAAATGTAGATATCTCTGATAGTTGTGCTTTGTCCGTAGAACTCTTTCACCCTTATAACGCATGCGTTAGGACTTCTCTCTTAGATACTACGTAAGAGGACTGGATCAACTTCTTGGTCCTTACCCACTTCCGTTCTATTTTTTGTTGACTAGCTTCCTTGTACGAAGGTGACTCTCTCCTATCTGAGGAGAGTTGTTCGCTGAATTATGTGTTTTTGAGCTGTGTCACAGCATAGATTCTCGTAAATTTTATCGAGAACAGAAATTCCCGAATTTTTTTGTACAATTGTTCTAGTTCCAGTTTTTGAGCTGAAACGTTTTCGGGTTTTGAAGAGAGCATGATAATCTTACCTATAACTGTTTTAAATATTCAGGAGCAACTGGGCGATGTATTGCATTGGATTAGGCAAGCCCTTGGGCTGTTTTTGGGCGTTATATGGGGAGCCGTTCCTGTGACAGGGGCACTGTGGTTAATTCTGTGAGTATTTTTTCACCTTGGACCTGTAGATATCCATTGTTCTTTTTCATAGCCACTTGTCTTGACCTGTCTCCATTTGTGGATGAACTTCAGTGAGGAGGGTTCGCTCTCTTTCTTGCACCATTTCAGTGTAGAATTCAATAAACCCACCAGAGTAGAATTTACTTCTTGGTCGATCTCAAAGTCCACGGGTAAAAGTAAACTACTTCTTCCACGTCAGAAATATCGCATCATTATTTGTTTCAACCGGTAGAAATTTTCCAACCTCTTTATGTCAATCAGTCTGACCGTATGCGACTTCTGGTGCTGAAAGGATGTGTGGATTAAAAGGTTACAGGTTACGGAATTGAAGTTCAGTGTGTCAGCCTTAGGTGAAAACAAGAAAGGCATGTTCATTAAGCTGGACGAAAGACGCTAAGCTGTCTTACTTGTGTAAACTGCTACCACCGCTTATTAGATGTCAAACGGTGAACATTACTATCGTAATGTCGTAGAAGTAGGGATGCTGTTCTATTTTGAATATCTTTTGAGTGAAGAAGAATGCAGAAGTCGGGGATAACCGGAAATAAATGAAAGAGAAATACATGGTATTTTAGTTCTCAACCTCCTCGTCACATAGGTGTGTTTGTAGTGTTATAAGCAATGAGGACATTTTTATGTCGAAACGAGGGCCCATAAGCCTTTCTCTCAGCTTGTTTTGGAACTAACGAGGGCCCATAAGCCTTTCTCTCAGCTTGTTTTGGAACTAACTTGCCGAACGGCTTTGTGAATTCAGGTTCTTTGCTGTGACTTCTGGGGTGATATATGGATATTATCATCTGATTTTGAAAGTGGATGAAGAGGAGTTCGGAGGTCATGGTAGCCTGTTGCAGGAAGGCTTGTTCGCTTCATTCACATTATTTTTGGTGAGTGGAAAAGAGGCAGCAGTCAGCTTTTGCCGAACCAAACTGCGTAGTTGGGACTGCTTATGTCATATCTCGTTTTCCGTACTAACAATGTTTTCTTTCTCTCTTGGAAGCTATTCCCTCCATCGGTCTTCTTGACGTTACCCGATCCTATTCCAACGCAGAGCTTGTGCTTATGTTGTACTGCATGTAACATGTGTTTTGTGTGGTCTCGCAGTTGGCTTGGATTCTGGTCTACAGCCTCTTCCATTTTTGACGGTCTTCATTCTTGTGAAATTATTAATAGAAGAAGCATGCGTTTTTACACTCAGAGCGAGCCGCCATTGGTAATTGTTGGCATGAGCTCTAGCCTGCTGCCATTCTGAAGTCATTAGTCGGGTGGCATGCCGACTAGATTGTGGTCTTCAAAGAGAGATTACAAACTGGTCTCTAGAAGTTGTAAAGTTTCTAGAAAGCTGATGCAGTTGTGGTGTACATGTATAATTTGGTTGCCATGTTTGTCGGATGTGTGCTATTTCCGATCTGTTTGATTGGTAAATTTTCATCACATGCGTTCTTCATCCCGGTTGTATGCACAAACCTAGGAAGACTAGAGAGGGCAAAGAAGCTATACAGTGCTTCTGTGTTTATACATATATTTCCAGTTAAGGACTGCCCTAAGCAAGACGCGACCGCCGACAGTGAAATGTTGCGAAAGTCCATAGAATCTGTGTTCGAATTCTTCCAAGTCTCTTCAAATACATATACAGCAGATCTCTACGTCGATACCACAAGCAAATAAATACAGCAGCGTACGGAAAGGAGAGATAGAAGATCCCACGAAACAGGATTGAACGCGATTAAATACGTGCGTCATGTTTAACCTAGACTTGATAGGACTTCTATGGCCTCTAGAGTGTGAACCCTTTTTACAAGTCAGCTAAACCTAATGTAGCAACACCGTCGAGGGGAAGAGTGTGAAGCGAGACAATCATGTGAAAAATGCTTCGTAGCGCAGGTATAGTGAAAGTCAAATTACAACTGGAGGACATATAGGGATCATCGAAACCCAAGTCTCACACAAGCACATTTGCCTGTCCACCATCCGAGTCAACTTCTCCGTTTCAGCCGAGATTTTGAACCTGGCGGTACAATGTGGTATAAGTCCTTGTAGGGTTCGTTATTCAAACGGAAAGGCGAATTCTCGTTGAGATTCTTTCTGACAGAACGTCAAAGGTCAAATGTACCATCCTTGGTGAGTGCTTTTGATCCAACAGCAGGCCCATAGACACGATAGAGAGGCTATTTCACTCACGCCGAGGAGATATAAGTATGTAGGATGGTATAAGGATGGTCCAATCCCCTCGGCATGTAATCTGCTGGACTCATGGAATATTCCTCCATCATTCTCGGAGGGCTTTTAAGTGAAGGACGAGACTCTGTACCAATATGAGGCTGTTCAACTTGCTATCTCGAGCTGCGTCGTAAATCCCCAGAGCAGTTCGTTTGGGTCCACTTTGTACGGCCGAATTCTCGACTTATGTTGAGATATAGTAAGGGTAGGTGATGGGGTATCCATCGTGTTGGCGAAAGATCTGAATCATAATCCTGTGCAAATTGACAACGGCGACATAGTGGATGCCGTATCTTTTGACACTGGGTGTATACTACTGCCACTAGAAAGGATCAGACATGAATTGGAGGAGGACATCTCCGTCACCAGAGGTTTCCTCCGTAGAGGTACTATGGTGCACAGACTAGACTTCTCACCCTTACCACACATGGCAGTGGCTGTGGTGGTAGATCATTTTCACTGATGAAATCTGTCCGAAGCAGACAAGGTCTGCAAAGACCGCACCGAAATATGATAATCAATAAGGGTTTGAGACAAACAAGCTGCTCGTCGTCGATACGGCAATACTTTGATATGATGGCTGTTTTGACGAGCCCAGCGGCAGGACTTGTGAAACTTCCCAGATGAAATACTTTTGTATGTTCTTGTCCTGCGTGAAGCATTGAGAATGTCATTCTTCAGCATCCACGATGTACTTCTCTACAAATCGCACAAACTGCTCCCTCTCTCGAGAAAAGGACAAGTAGAATAATTCTTTTTGACTATGGTACAAGTTCCGACACAAGCTCATTTGACTTCCAGGTATGGCAGACCAGTAGAGACTGAGGTGCAAGCATGGAAGATGTGGTTAAGACGGTCCACGCCAACTCCTGGAAGTCACACGGTCCCTCAAACAAACATGCACCTCTAGCTCTCAAAAGTGCAGACTCTAGGGTGACGGTAGAAAGCAGAGGAAGATGGCCAGGTCAAAGACGCCCTAAATTACCGCGCAGGGCTCCGACAGATCTCATTGATGTGATGTGCTTGCTGACTTCCAACATGACTATAGCGCAGCGAACTGAAAGCCTTTGACTGGTAGGGTGCACATTCATTGATGAGCTGAATAGAAGGCTTTTTAAACGAGGCATAATGGACGAGGTTCGAAATCACGGCGCAAGGAAGAGTGGGCACGGAACTCCGAACTAATTCCGTGCCTGAACTGCAATGTAGCTGGGGAAAAAGTAAAGAAATGGTTTCCAACATCGGAACTGGAGGGGCGTCATGGTAGCAAAAGTTGGGACTTTTTCCCGTGACCGGACTCGAGAAAGAATAAATAAGTAAGTCGCCAACACAAAAATAGATGTGGGCCTGCGCATGTTTTCTGCGCAGGAGTCTCTTTGTCCTTAACATGGAGCCGTGCTCATAAAGCAAGTCGACACGAACTGTTTGTCTCCACGCACGGACGCCGAGAGCTTGTCCGTGCAATGAATTTGTTGGAACGGTCTCGAATGCCGAGGACTCTGGAAAGGCATTCCGGAGGCAGACAAAGAGCAAATCAAACGTTGTTTCACTTTGAGGTTCTGGCTGCACACCCTCCCTCCCTCCCTCCATTCCTTCTTTCCGCGGTCCTCTCTGTTGGTGGCTTGGCTTGTTTAGCAGGCCCTTTAGTTATTCGCCACCATCGAGATTTACTGTTGCGAGTTTTCTTGGGGTTAATGGCAGGCAAGACGGAGCAACTGTCACCTGCCCTTTGACCTGTCTGTAGATTCGGGCATTGGGAAGAAGAACTTTAAGGGACGAAGGAAGGAACGGGGTCGAACAAAATGAAGGGGGAGTTATGGGATGGGTGATTTTGTGCGGGAGGATCTGACTCACAGGACGGCTGTCGGTTGAGCAGGAAGCAGATTTGGAGAGAATTTTGAAATTTGGGCGTTTCGAGGCAGGGAGTGGCATGCTTGCGTTTCTCGATGTTGCACATGCTCGGTGATTTGGAGATCTCAGGCGCAGGAAGAGGAGGAGCGGGGGAGGCCAATTTTCTCAAAATTTTGAAGAGAAATGCCAATCAACTTCATTCTGAAGCTCTGCATAATTGTTTCGGAGATCCTGTATTTCGAAGCTCAACTTCTTAACAGAATTCTTCGGCGATTGAGAACTTGAGGCCATGGGCTTTGGTCGCCCGCTTTGGTGGACACAAGCGGCTTTGTTATCAATCTTTCTGCTCCAGGAAATCTCATGTGCTTCGGCCAGAGCATCTTCTCAGTTTCAACCTAGGAATTTTGGGGTAAAGCTGCGTCCCCTGCCATCTTGCTACTCATCCCTTCTTTTAAGGGGCCGATGATTGAATCGATAATCGAGCAATATGTGCAAACTACCCTCGGAGTAAAACTATAATGTTCAACTATTTTCAAAAACGGAAAGTTCGTGGCCATTTGTTAGTCGTTTTCAATACAGTTTCCAGACCTGAGATTCTGAGGCATTGAAAATGTTGGAAAGGTACATCCGGAAGCAAGCATCGAAGTAAATTTCTCGTTTGCGTTTACCATGTATAGCACATACACAGAAGAGAGCTCGAGAAATGAATATTTTTTGTTCCTGCCTTCTGGATCATCCGTCTTTGAAAATTGTGCTCAGTCGTTTCTTCCCTTGAGTTGAAATAACACAGTTACCCTCTTCCCGACTGCACAGCCCCTGCGTGTTGGCCATCTGTTTGATAATCACAATATTAGGTCAATAGCACTCGGGCCTCACGTCGTGCTGTGTTGATGTTGTGAAGCTGCCGGGAGCCTCAGTCGACAAGCTAGATGACGTGAAATTGTGGAACGTGAGCGAACCCAACTTCAACTTGTACCATCGCAGGTAGTTAGCGACGATGCCCGGTGTTTGCGTTCAATAGACCCTCCAGATACACCCTTCATTTCTGTGCTCCTGCTGTCCGCTTGGATGGGTTGGTTTGTGTTGCTGTGCTTGTGAAGCTTCAGGTGAATTTATCTGATGAGTGTTACGTCGGTGTGCTGGCAGTGATGTCCTTCTGAAAAAAGTGAAAAGCCTGGTGGAGCGGCATCCTCAAATTATGTCGGTGAGATTGCACTGTAATCCTCATTTTCTTCTTGAACGAAATTTACGAACCATGGGTTTATACAAATCCTTGTAATTAGTCTATCACAATTCATTATTTTTGAAGCTGGTGTCATACCTCGGTTTCCCAAACTTACATGCTCTTAAATTCCGGAATTCTTCCTGGAACAGGAGGGAATTTTTGTCTCCATTAATCTCTGATAATGTAGCGGGTTTGATAGATTTGATGAATGTAACGGTCTACAACATTGCGAACTCGTTATAGGTCAACGCCACAATTTTAGTCACTGGAAGGATCGATTACGTTGTGCACGAGGTTAATGTCTTCCCTGTTGCTTCGGCTCATAATCAAGCTTGAAGATGGCCTGATATATGATTCGGCTGGTGTGCAGATGGAAGTGCTGAAAGGGGAAAGCGATGGTTATAAGACTGAAATTACTGTCGTGACGGTGGAGGCAGGTGGCAGGAAGTCGTCACACGATCAGAAAATGCGACTTTTACTTGTAAGAGACGTCGTGCAGTGGTCTTAAATCTTTTATCCGTCGATGGCCGTTTGAAGGGTCTCTTTTCAATTTGCTCATCCTCGTGGTTTCATTTCTGTCCGATCTTTCTTGAGACAGACACAAACAGCGTTTGATTGTCATTTCAATGTTGTGTTCTTTTAAGCGTCATTTCTCTCCTACTTGTCGAGCACGAATGCACATTTTTGGGTTCTTTTATGTCGGATCACAGGAATGTATGTAACTGCTTCATCGAACCTCGAGGATATATTGGGAATGAGTGAACATGTTTTGCAGTGGATTGCTTACATCAGATGCTCAGTTTCTATTTAGTTTAACTTGATTAAATTCTTATTCTGTGTGTGATCAAGTTTGCAGGACTTTGGTCAGCACGGACGGGAGCTGGTCACATCTGAAGTTGCTTTCAGATTGTTGCAGACTCTTGGCGGTGAACGTCCTGTAGGTGAAGTCGACCTTGGTGCCCTGAAACAAATTCTTCCTCACACAATTATCAAGGTGTGAAATTTTCCTAGCCTTTACATTTCCATATACGTGAGTGAAGACGTATCGTCTTCTTGAATTCTTCTTACCAGCTTTATTGCCTGGTGTCGGTGTCTCAATTCTCATATGTGTGTTCGATTCATCCAGATCGTACCAATGGAGAACCTGAATGGACGAAGGAAAGTAGAAGCTGGCGAATTCTGCGAGAGAAAAAATGGTGGGTCGTAATTTTCATCACGATCAACCGGAATGTGTTTATAACAGATGATGACAATGTGGAAGCAAGTAACTCCGTGGAAGACCATGAGATAGTTGAGGAGTTCAAAATGTGATTGTTAGAAACTAATTCGGGAAGCAGTTTTGGTTAGCGTAGGCTAGTGCGAACTTATTAACTTTTAATACGAACTTGAGGTTTAACTATGGCCATACTGACGTGTAGCGTTGTTCCAGGCCGTGGAGTAGATATCAACAGAAACTGGGCAGTTGACTGGGGCAAAAAGGAGAAGGTACTTCTAATGACCATTACCAGTGAGCAAGACTATGCACAGTTGTTTCTGACTTACGAAACGGGACCTTTTTCGTCCATGCTGATTAATGTTACATCTTACTGTCCGGCTTTATATGTATCTGTTGGTTATGAAGTTATACCTTCAACAGCATGTACTAAAGATTAGGTTTTAAACGTTTGAGTGCTGACACCGTAGCAAGTTTAAATTTGCAGGATTATGATCCTTCCGAGGAGTATCCAGGACCCTCTGCCTTCAGCGAGCCCGAAACTGTCTTAGTGCGTGACCTGGCAATGTCCTTCAAACCCCACGTATGGGTCAATGTTCATTCAGGAATGGAGGTACGCCATTTCTCTTGGGGATATAGTCTCGAAGTTCGAGCACAGTAAGTGCGCAGTACCAAAATGTAGACCAGCAGTAGTGGAGGAGTAGTGTTTATTGACAGCTACTAGTTGGTCCGCGTAAAGATGCATTTTGTCTTCTTAAACTTGCCGATGGGCAATCAGGACAACTCAGGTCCATCACGGCCTGTTCTGCTTGCCATCCCAAGCATGTAGGCTAAGAATTTGCATAGAATGTGGAACTTTTATCTAAGTTCATTTTGGCCTCTATTATCATATATTTTCGTTGCGCATTTATTTTCCATTATTTATTTTATTAGCTACGCGCGCTTAGCTAAAATATTGCATCAAATTTATCACGTGTTTTTCTGTTGTTTTTGAAGGCGTTGTTCATGCCTTACGATCACAGAAGTACTGTGCCTACTGATGGAGCAGGACCGATGAAAACATTGCTACAAACTTTGAACAGGCTGCATTGTATGGACAACTGCGTCGTTGGATCAGGGGGCGGTTCTGTTGGGTAAATATTTCTGATCAAGATCAACTCTTCTCATACACAAGTAATGCAATCGATTTCATATTTTTTTTTGTTTGGTTTTGAAGCAGATTACTGTCGCTACTAATTTCCCTCTATTCATGTAATTTGGACATATGTCTAATTGTTTTTAATTGATCTTTATTCCACTCTAATGTGGTAATTGCAGTTATTTAGCGCATGGGACAGCTACCGACTACATGTATGATGTTCTGAAGATCCCTATGGCTTTCACCTGGGAGGTAACTATGTTCGGCATGTCAATTGCCTACCTTGAATATGGCTCAAAATACTGCAGTACGTTGCACATAGTCGTTACCCAATCTTTCTTACAGTTGTGGCTGTTCGCTTCACTTGTTTGGAAATCAGATTTATGGCGACTTGATGCAACCCGAATACGAGTGTTTCCAAATGTTCAATCCAGCCTCGCCTGCGCTTCTTCAGGTATTGTGATAATGTTGTGAGTTCACGTGGATAGGTACGCTGTTGTTACGAAGATCAAATTTTTGTGTCAAAAGTTTGTCAAACCTTGTTTGAATGGTATAGTTATCTTGCATATGATTGATTCTACTTGTTAGCTGTTTTCAGATTATTGATGTCAAGAAGCGCCATTAACATTCCCCATGATATGGTGATTTGCAGAAAGTAATATCGAGGTGGTCGGATGCTTTCTTTACACTCATCGTGAACCTTCCAGCCGGCCTTCGCCGGCTACCAACCAGAACTCCAGCAATACCGGTTTGGAACTGGGAATCTTTTACTTCATCCGGTCTGACAGATATTCCCGATAAGGAGCTTAGAAGTAGATTAACTATAAGAGGTCAATCTGAAGAGGCCTCTACCGGCTTAGAGTGGGGTGGTGATAGAAGATCAGAGTCTGCAGATAATGGTGAAGGAGAAAAATTGCTCCTGGAGTTTTCTCTTCTCTTTACTGGAGTGGTACTGATGTGGGTATTCTCGAGGTTGTTTAGATGCTTTTGTACCGGCAATCAGTTTCCTTATAGTCCTCTAGGCGAAAGAACGAAACGAGTACCTGTTTGATAACCCAGGGCCGTCGTAGAGTTCGTTTGATACATCCATTTTGATCTGGCGCTTGTAAATGTGAATCGGCTCTAGTTGGCAATTAGATTTCCACTTTGTATATACGGGTTCATGTCTTATCGGATGATGCCAGCTCTCAACTCCCGTCTCGGCCACGATAATGGTGGAAGAAAGTGCTGGAGCGTTGTGCTGTCACATGTATAGTTGTTCTTTTTGTTCTGGTACACTCTTTTTCCTACTTTTCGCGATTAGCGTTCCCACCTCCCACTGGCTGAATTCGTTTATCGTGAATGATTTTCTTCGCCCCACATATGTGCATGAAATAGGCTGCCGTATTTTCTGGCGAAACTAATTCAACAGTCGTAGATCGGGTTAGCCAAAGCTGAGTTACCTATGAAGGATTCCGTCGAGTAAACGTGGGGATCTCATATATCATAAGTACAAAGCACTCTGTCATCCTTTTATTGCGTAAATACCGGTGCTGAGAGGATTCTTGTTCTCCGAGATCCAACTTTCGTGTGATGTCATAAGCTCGAAACCACAAGGTGCCTGCTTTCACGGTTTCTTTGTAGAAGTGTAGCGAGATAAGCATTCCTACATGCTCTACTCTCATGTATCGAGGCATTTGAGGTCTTCACGAGGCTTGGTCATGAGAGTGATTGAAGAAATCGTGTCCCAAGAAAGTCTTCGTAAACTACAGCTATGGCCACGGATGATGGTAAGCTTCTTTTACAGCTATAAGTGGCTGTGCACTTTCCCTTGTTCAAGAGTCTTCGAAGCCTTACAGGGTTTGTGGACAAGTGCCGTGCCACTAACAAGGCAAGGAGGAAGCACCACCTTCAACTCCCCTCCATCTTGAGCACGAACTCGATCTTACTACCATTACAAACGTAGTCGTTCTAGGTGATAAAAGATTTCGCACATGAGCTATTGGGAATGGGCGGTTTGTTGTCGATCCACAAGCAAGCAGATAACACGATCCTCTCAATCACGGGGAAGCCATGCACGACGTCCCTACCTGGGACCAGACTGAAGCAGGTGAAAGAAAACTAAATCTGTCAGAAGGAAACTAAATTTGTTGAGTCCATGAGACAAGAGGATGATGACTACTTCTATCATGGACAGGAAATCCTGGAAACTCTGAGAACAATCCTGTTTTCGGATGAAGCCTCCGGACACATGCACAGCGATCAAGATGGGGGTGCCCATGTAAACTACAAGCTCGAGGGTTGAAAATTAGCGTCGATCCACCTGCTGGAGGAGGCAGGTAGATCGACAGGTCGCTGGGGTCTGGAGAGGCAAAGAAGACGGCGCAAACAGTGGACCCCAAACAGAGAGCTCCCGGTGCAGCAGACTTCAGGAAGCCTGTTGACGAAGGCGTAATGGGATCGAGGGATGGACTTTATCTTTTGCGAAAAGTCAAAAAGTCCAAAAGGGCAGTGTCGACTCCAGCCATCTCCAGTGCCGATTAGCTTCACCTTCCATCGCTAGCTAGAAAGGTGCCGTCTTTTTGGTACTGATCGTAAGGGCAGGTAGCTTAATCCTCCCTTGCAGCGAAGAAAATGCCTGCAGATACGTGATTAGTGACCACAATAAACATGTCGGGGAGACTATGAATTTGGCCTCCAGTCCTTCATAACGGAAGTGCCCACTGCTCGTTCTTCACAGAAGAGCGTCCCATTTGAGGAGTTTGAGTGTTGCAGATCTTGTTTTGAAGCACCTTGTTGGCGGGAGGGGAGGTAAGGGGAGGGGAGGTGAGTCGATTGCAATCATGGCCTCGACACTGATGCGACGCATGCTGAGGTCGCCCTCCTCCACCTTGAGGACCTCCCATGCTGTCGGAGTGTATGTCGTTCGACAGATTGCTAGTGCTCCCAGTGCTGGCACTGGAAAATGGCGAGAGGAGAAAGACACCATGGGCGTCATCAAGGTTCCTCAAGACAGGTGAATTGGTCTTTTTCTTCCAAATTCTCTGCTCTTGCTCACTAATCCATGTTTCCACGATTCCTTCCTCTTTTGGAGTCATGCCCGATCGCTTGGAGGTGAAGTGAGAAGAAGGTCTTTAGGTTGTGGAACGGCTCATTTGTAAGAATTTCGCGGTTTACTGGCACTCGTTGGCCTCAGAATTATGCGATTCGTTTTCCAAAAATATCTGCGTGGCATAGTAAGCGCGGGGAGTTTATGACTTGAAGATATCAATTTCTCCTTTGCACTGAAAGCCAGTGCCAGAGAAAAGGCTCTGCGTATCGTTCTCTGCTGATAGCTTGCAGTAGCAGTAGTAGGTAGCTCGTTTGCTTTGGGATGTTTGTTGATAACATTTTCGACACTACATAATTAACGACTCTAAATTGCGGATCATAATTGGAGAATCAGATTGTGGTCTCCGCTGTCGAATGTGGGCAGTACTGATGAATGTTTTTTCTAACTTTCAGATACTGGGGGGCTCAAACTCAGAGGTCTTTGCAGAATTTCGAGATCGGTGGTCATCAACATCGAATGCCCGAACAACTCATTCGTGCGTATGGTGTATTGAAGAAATGTTGCGCGAAGGTAATGATTACCAAGTTCGAATCTTAGGTCAAGTACATTTAGAAGTCATTGAGTGATTGTAAGTGACACTTTTTGAGAACATGAATTGTGACTCAGTGATTGTGAGCCTTTAGTTTCCCTTCAAATGTCTGCTTCTTTATTTGACACTTATGGCAGATATGGTGTTTGTGGAGTACTTATCGGTGCACCTAGTAGTTCTTTAATAAGCTCAATATCTAGACTGTAGAGTTTTGTTTCAATGACCGGTACATTCTGTTGATCCTTTATTTCTTCTCATCAGATTGAATATCTCCGTCTTGTCCTCTAGGTGAACATGGAATATGGACTGGATCCTACCAAGGCCAAGGCTATTATGCAAGCTGCCCAGGAAGTAGCAGAAGGGAAGCTGGACGATCATTTCCCTCTCGTTGTGTGGCAAACCGGAAGCGGTACTCAGACTAACATGAATGTTAATGAGGTATGGTTGCTATATCTCTTCAGATCTGGTCTTAATCACTGACTGTAAACTTTTATCGTGTTCTTCTATAATAAACCTGGTTTGTAGGTGATAGAATGTGAAGCTTGAGAGTGTGACTATATCAGATGGAGGACCAAAGGTTTACAGAAGCTTGTTGTATGTCCTTGGATCCGCTTGAATCCACCAGCAGTTCAACGTCTAATGTTGCCGATCGTCATGGTCCATATTCTTTATGTGATATCTGTTTTCTAATCCAGTTATATCCGGATTCATATGATCATTGTAAGTGATGTTTCTTTTAATTGATATGCGCGCTGAGTAGTATTACTGCAAGTAGATCAAACAGAGCTGAACTTATAATTTCCGTCGAGGAGAGGATTACTTTCTTCCAGGAAGTCAAGGTAAGAAAACGTTTACGTCGAGGAGTGAAGTTGTGGTCGAGCTTGGTGTTTAACTAATTTTGGTTTGGTGAATAGGTGATAGCCAACCGGGCTGGTGAGATTCTTGGACACCCACCTGGCTCGAAAGCTGTTCATCCAAATGACCACGTCAATATGGGGCAATCTTCCAACGATTCATTCCCAACAGTATGTTCTTTTTCTTAACGCCGATGATTGATCTCTGCTAATTTTGTAAAGTTGTGAAAGTTGAATGTCAAAATATTTCTTACTGAAATGGTCGTCCTCTCACTACTCGGGAAACAACTGGTAGAACTTTGCTCCTCACAAACATAAGTGTGATACCAACGGTGCTGCATTCTTTGATAACTGGTTCCAGGCTATGCATGTGGCCGCCATGCTTGAAGCTCATTCGAAGCTGGTCCCCAAGCTGAGTGGACTTCAAAAGGCTCTGGAGGAGAAGGTAATTATCGAGTGTATCTAGGCTTCTTACAAATTTCACTTCACAGAACTCTTTGCACTTTATTACTTCCCTTCCAACCGTGGCACCTGCAGAGGTTGGAAATTTACTGACATTTTTTTGGGTGTAATTGATTTGAATGGGTTCGTATTTAGTCCAAAGAGTTTTGGGACATCGTCAAGATTGGTCGAACTCATACGATGGATGCTGTACCCTTACGTCTTGGGGACGTATTTAGTGCCTACGCCACACAAGTAAGTACCTTGCCCTTCTATAATTGTTTCGCTTGACGTAAGTATTTTTGTGCGCAATGTAGACTGTTACGACCTTGTCTTCTTTTAGTAAAGTTTCTAAAGTTTCCTACACTTTACAAAGATCTCAATTCAGCTGATTGCTTTTCACCGATGGGGGACCTATCGGTGAAAAGCTAGACTATAGTACGCATTCAGAAGCTTATGCTCATGTAGAAGATTCACATAATAGTGTGTGCATTGACCATTCTCTGAGAATCTCTAACGCTCAAGTTTCACGATGGCTTGTTGGATCAGGTGAAGTATGGATGTGAGCGTATTGAAGCCAGCTATGATCTGCTTTTACAGGTAAGGAGAGATCTATCCTGTCTGTTCGCATTCATACGACGAGTCAATAGTTTAAACTCTGTTTTAAATCTTCTACTTTTGCCCTTGTTAAGTCTATCACGAAGTTGAACGCCATGTAAGCGTGGATGTTATGAGCGTTGTTTTAACGTCGAACACACATCTGCTTTCAAAGTACCTCCTTTAAATATATAGTTTGAATTTCGCTGACAGGTTATTGGCGAAGGGGTGATTTTGTACTAAAATCCTGTTATGCTTCTTGCTTTACAGCTGGCGCAGGGAGGTACAGCAGTCGGAAGCGGCCTCAACTCAAAGAAAGGGTGAGCCAACCTAGATCTTTGGCATAATATTATTCTTTGAGTTTCGATGCTGAAGGAATGAACGGTTGTCCACGTTAACATTTTTCTACTTTGAATTGGTAAAATTTATTTCTTGATACCAAGTATTGGAAAGCCATTCATTATGGTAGTAACAAGTTGCCAGGAGTATGGCGGGAATACATGTAAAGAGGTTTGACAGTCTGGATGGAAGTGAAAATATGTTGCCTAATAGTGATTTTTTTGGCGTAATTTTGTTTGTGCTTCACTTGTTTTCTTTTAGATTTGATGTGAAGCTTGCTGCGGAGCTGGCATCTGAGACCGGTCTTCAGTTTAAACCTGCACCCAACAAGTTCGAAGCTCTGGTACGCGGGAAGGTTTAAGCTGTCTAAGTGTGATTATTTAATCTAGTTTTAGTACTTAACAAGTACGATGCTGCGCATCTTTCTGTTTGATCCTTCTTTTGTTTCGCATCCGAATGCATGGATAACGTCTACATGCACACGTTACTGGTTGAAATGCTTCTTGCTGAGTTCATAGAGGGATTGGTCTGCATTGGATCACAGGCAGCAAATGATGCCTACGTCTTCACAAGTGGAGCTTTGAACACTGTTGCCGTGTCATTGATGAAGATAGCTAATGACATCAGGATGCTCGGAAGGTTAGCTACTTTCTGTCTCCTCTACATTGACAGTCGTGACGAGTTTGCGTGATTGTCATTGTATGCTACATTTCCTGACTGTGGTAGCGAAATCTTATGAGCATAGTATCGTTCTTGCAGTGGACCTCGTTGTGGGCTTGGAGAACTAGAGCTGCCGTCGAATGAGCCTGGAAGCAGCATTATGCCTGTGAGAGCTTGTTCCTACCATCGTATACTCGAATGATTTATTTTAAAAGTTGCCAAAACCTAGATATCAGAAGCGGTCCACTTAGTAAGCGGCCGTGAATCATCGAAAGCATCAATTCTTCTTAATTTTTGACGGATTAAGATCTCTGTCTGCTAGCGATCCAACTTCAGTTTTGCCTCGTATTGAGGAGAATGCTCAAGTTTGAGTTGAAGAAGCATTTGGAGATAGTGACATGGGCAAATATTTGGTATTGCAGGGCAAGGTGAACCCCACCCAATGTGAAGCTATGACCATGGTCTGCTGTCAGGTAATGAGAGTTCTACATATATCAATTTATACGCGGTAGCATGTACAAAATGCAGGCTCATGATTGCGAGAGAGGTATTTTTTGAGTGATATGGCTCATTGCTTTTCTTTCCTTTGAAAATGAGGAAAGGAATTTCTACCTGATCGCTAGGAATATAGGAACGAGCCGCTACACGTATAAAACGCCTGACTCACATTATAAAGAGAAATTTGAAGCTAGGTCTTCAAATGTATTTCTGTTCTTTGCTCTCTGAAATCAACCTCTAAGATAAGTGAAATTGTGCTAGAACCAGTCAACTTGATATTTTATAAGAAAGTTATGGATCGAACTGCCATAAAACAACTTATAAGCAGATTAATAGCACATTTTGGAATTACATACACAACACATATTCTAGATCTTAAAAAAAAACACTAGGGTTTCAACAAGCTACTTTGGGGCTATTTCATCAGGAATTGATGATCTACTTACTTCTGCTGGTCTGCCGAATATCCAGGTGATGGGCAACCACGTAGCTATTACTGTTGGCGGTTCTCAAGGCCATTTTGAGCTAAATGTGTACAAACCACTTATGGCCAACGCATTGCTGATGGTGAGTTCTCGGTGCACCTACACTGAATCAAGTGATTTTCCAGGAATACTGATTGTGTGTTGAGTGGATTGCGTTGTGGGACTCAAAGATTGCGTTGCGTTTGTACATCTTTGTTATCATAAATGTTGTAGCCATCCTAGATGCATCATCATATACATTTTTTTTTCGAAGGTTGAACTATTCGATGTTGACCGAGGAATTTAATGTCTACTGAGAACTCTGCTTACGTATGTGAATAAGAGGTTTATGCCGAGAATCTCGAGATGGACTAACCTACCTTCGATGTGCATGCAGTCCATGAGGTTGCTTGGTGATGCGTCTGAGTCATTCAGAAAGAATTGCGTCGTAGGACTCAAAGCCAACGAAGGGAAAATTGCTGAGTACCTGCAAAAGGTAGTTTTTTCTCATTGCCTGATTTGCCTAAACTTGGCAGTAATCTCAGACGGAATGTGCAGCTTTTAAGGTTCCTTCTTTATCTACCTTTGGTGTTTGTGTATGAAATCTGTCTTCTAATATATTGGTGGGTGCTTGTGTCGGCTTTCTTACAGTCACTCATGCTCGTCACAGCGTTGAATCCTGTAAGTATTATGTTACCCTATTTGGCAATTCTGTTGGTGTAGCATGCACTTCGTATCTTATCTATAACTCAAGACATCAATCACTTCAGGATTGGTTTGTTCTGCACTGGTCGGTGTAGATTTTCAAAGTTGTAAAAAATAATCGTCACTTGCTGCTTTACAGGTCATCGGTTATGACAAGGCAGCTGCCGTGGCAAAGAAAGCCCACAAAGAGGAAACAACCCTCAAGGTGAGGAGACTATCTGCTACTCTATTCCTGTAAAAGGTGGCAATCATGAATTAGTAATGCTTATTGGAGGCGAGGAAACATCACCCGTAGTCAGTGGTGCAACATGGATATTTGCCCAACACTGAGGGTCGTAGTTCTTTTTTCTTAAGAACTTCGTTCGTTTGTGTATGTTTCTCTGTGTAAATTTGAGAGCGACTAAAGTAATCATTCTCATATTTCGTCTCAGGTTTTGTGAAAGTTCTTCAAAAGCGATTTTATGTTATTTACTCATGGAAGTCTGAGCCTTTTGATTTTTGGTTTGCAGGCTGCAGCTATAGAGCTTGGGTATTTGACCGAGGCACAGTTTGATGAGGCTGTCGATCCATTGAAAATGCTGGGGCCGAAGTAGAAGACTCCAGCGTACTGCTGGATAGCACTTGAACCTACTTCCGGTCTGGCTAATTTTGACCTACTCGAGGACTGGTCATAACGGATTCACGAGAAGAACACTCTCGCTCAAGGTCGTCGTCTTCTACTTACATTGGTTTCACGCCCGACATAATCTTGACGTGTATGGAGGATATTGCCAGTCCTTTGCTACTTCCTGCGTACAGCGGGGACTTACAAGACCAGATGGCAGATTTGACACCGATGAGAGCATCCTTATAGGGCACGGAGACGAGGGAAACCAACGGAAGCAAGTGGTCATTATTATGTCGTACTGACTGGTATATGTCTGAGGACATCTGGTTTGTGAATAGACGGAGCCTAGATCACTCTCACAGCACGGCCACAGCGTGGACCATCCATTGAGCTTTCTTTTGGCTCATGATGAAGCTTCATCCATTTGTGGGAGTAATATTTGACTACTTCAATTCCCACATAATTTAGGAATTAGACAATTTTGAATAAGTAAAGTTGTAAACCATGAAATTCTCACGTTTTCATTGTTTAAGCCTAATTCGTTGTTCGCGCAAGGGTCCTCTGTTACGTTAACTGTCCGTCGAGGACTAAGCAGGATTCGTCAACGTCATTCATCATAGTTCTTGAATTGGGGTAAGTTATGAGCCGATAATGCTGTTCAACCTTTGACTCTAATTTGACTCCATTCCACCGACTGGTAGAGAAGTTCCTTGTTATGATTCTGAAGCGAAGTCGTTGATCTTACGATGTACTATTAGGCACTGCTGATCATCACACACTGCTTGTATAATTGGGAATATGATCTCGAAACCATGTGCACCGATCGTTTTCTCGGTTGGAGTGGAATCTCAAACTGGTCATGCACGGATGAAGCGTGCATTGCAGAATATCTTTGTGACCCAATCTTCATCTGGGTTGCGGTCAAAATAGATTTCTTTCATGCAGGATGGATGCATGATGTTCACCTTGGCATGCTGCAGTCACGATGGAATTCTTTGTCCGAACCCCACAAACTTACAAACTCCTGCAATCAAGCAGAACGTATATCGTATCTCATGAGTCTTATTATTCATGTGACAAACGTTTTGCAGAGGCTCCATGACAATCACATGACGTGCTTCCAGCTCTCGTGGTCACACTGTTTGAAGATCAAGTCGGCCAGTTCAGAGTGTTTCTACATGGCTCGCTGTAATCAGGAGGTGCACAATTGACCAAATCTCCAGAGCTGAGAACAATTGTTCTCAGCTGTATGCAGAAAAAGAACTTCAAAATCAGGACTTGGGATAATCAGCATTACCCAAATATTCCTTCCACGTGGTTACTCTGGAGGGAAAGATGCCCTGCATGAAATGAGCTATGCATCGCTCATTTCATGAAATCATCCTCTCATGAAATCTTCTCCTCCACGCTGGCCAGGGTGTCGCCTCGTTCTTCTTGATCCTATTCGAAGAAGAATCATCTTTAAACAATTGTTCGTGGATCGTTGAGGACCCGCCTCTCTTTCATTCAAAGAGGTGCAAACAAGTTTCACGTACTTCGTGTAACAGGTATGCGAAACATGACAAGACGACGACGAAGATAACACCTGTCTCGGCAAATGCCAAGAGAAGGAGGAGGCATATAGCCCAAGAGGCCCCTGCATAGGATCAGCAGCATCAAACATGAAGGGTCCAACCGGATCTGGGGAACCGAGAATGTGCTGAAGAGACAGGTTGACGAGCTCACCGCTGTACACTGAAGTGGTTCAGACGGGGATTGAAGGGAAGGGTATCAGGACAGGTGGAGACACCAAAATGGCGGAGGACTAACGTTGACAACGAACTGCAGAAGCAGCTGGACCCGTGAGTCATATGCTATGCACTACTTCATAGTTCATGGGATCTCTTAGCTGGAGCGACAGTGGTCTCCTAACTGGGTCAAAGGTAATGTGTCACGGGGAGGATCTCCTGGCCTCGTTGATACAATAGAATAAAAAGCACTGCTGTTTAAATAGTCTCGTGTGCCTGATCTCTGGGTGACTAGAGAAATATAGGCAGTACCATCTGTGGAACATGTCTACACTTGGAAGAGATCAAGCAACGAACCAGATAATTTACACATTCCTTAGCACGTACTTGCGACTCATCGTACTGTGTACTTCGGGTTTTCTTACCTCGTGCTCCACGATTTGTGCGTTTCCCACATTTACGTATATATCTCAAATGAACGCTAGTCAGGAGATTGTCTCCATCCTTCGAGTATTATTTTATGAAAGATGAGTTTCATGATGAACATTTCACGTCAACGAATTGTGACTCGGAGCCCAGACTGTAAATCGGATCTTTCATAATATACAATTTGAGCTTGTTCCTCCCGTCCGTCTGTTCTGTGCCAAACTTGGAGATCTGAACTATCAGGCTGAGGTTCTCAAGTGCTGCCTTCCCCACGTGATCACACTACAGGAAATTAGAGCATATGTCAATGAGTTGCGAAACGGTGCTGGTAAAAGATCCCGGTTTCCAGACCTCAAGCGTTGCAGTACAAATCGGTTCTGACGCTATTATCATCCCTTTTCCGCATTATTCCAGCTGTTGCAAACATCTTCTTCGAGGCTCGACTATTAAATTTACTGTCCAAACGTGAATTTGTAGTGAATCCAGAAGATGATCTAGATGAAAATCTTGACAGTGCGGCCTGCATGTAGTGCATCATGGCTGATGACATAATTCTAGATGCAGGGAAATTGAGTTCTCTCTGCAGGTTGACAGGAGATTTTCCCAGACAGGAGAAGGAACAATTGGACGAACGATAAATAAAGAATTTCGGAACCTTTTGTGTCAATGCAATAATACGTGGAGCAGGCAGCAATCGCAGACAGCCCCAAGACACTCACCAGGCGCTATGGCGTCTGCACTGAATGGCATGAATGCAGGCACAAGACACTGGTGGCCTTTCAAGTATCGAGCAAGTCCTGCAGATAGTAGTTGAACGAACTGAGGAGCTCAATCACTGGAGCACAATCAAATTCGAGAACGAGACCAGACACTAAAGTGCACCAAATGACGTCTGTCCCATCATTGCAAAAGGTCCTTCAGAACATACTGTATCTTTCCTCTGTCATTTTCTATCAATTACATTCTAAAAATTCCATTCCCGAGAACGTGATCGCTAGTCCTTGGCAGTGCTCTCAACTTCGCAATCGCTCTCTTCCGCCATCACGACTTTCGATCCGAATCCTTTCGGGAGCATAGGCCAGCGTTTGCGTCTCCGGCCCGGTCGGTCTTCCACATCTACGTCCGTCTTTCCTCTCTTCCGTTACCTCTTCCCTTTACGACGTGTATTCCGGCAATTGCTCGGAAAGGTAGGCCTGCTGGCATCGCACCAGTGGGACCACTGGTGCGATGGAATATTCTACCACGAGGGGATACTCTAGGAATCTACCGCTATAGCGGTAGATTTCCCGCCGGGAGGCGCTACCCCATCCATCGGACGACCATCCGGGAGTATGTACCATTCCTGACATACTGCTGCTACTCAATTAAATCCGTGCACCTAAAAAGACATTGGCGCATTATACGTGACACAGATAAATAACGAGCGATTTTAGCCATATACAGTAGATAGAAGAACTCCCTCATTCATCTCATGAACTCTTTGCTATGATAAACCTCAACAATCGACAATGAGAGCTTTTATTTTCTTTGCCAATTCTCAAAGTAGATATCTGAAATGTTCTTAATGATGCAATATTACTATCTCTCACATCCAATCTCTTCGACTTTGTTAAACTGACCAATGAGTCTCCATTTATGCACAGTAAATTCCAATTTACTGCAAATGGAAGCAATATCCGAATCATGGAATACAAATATCAACTCTTTCCTCATAATATTATAGGTTGAGTCCCCTGTTTACAACATCAATTGAGACATCTGATAGTTGTGTGTGATGACATTGAAACATCACATACATTTATCTAACTTTTGTCAATCCTCTTTTGAAGACATATGTAGCAAAAATTCTCTCATATCAGATACATGACTCAAATTTTACACCAACAATGTTTAGACAATCATCAAATTATCTCGTGCTTACTAAATCAATTATCAATTTCTAGAATCTAAAAATATTTATTTTAAATTTCAGAAAAAATATAGATTAAAATTTGATTGCTAAAAAAATGCACGTCGCATTATGGAATGGAAATTTTTATTGAATCATGAATACTAGATAAAATTCTATCTTATATTTGAAGTGCAATAATTTGATGAAAAATGAATTTATCTATTTATCAAATGTTGATAATAATATTCTTGGATTTAGGTAATATATTTCTTCATCTTTATTCCAATTATAACTAGATGTCAAATTAAATTCATACATATACATATTTGAGATGTTTTTTTAAATTATAAATAATTTTTTATTTCATATCTTCATTGAATTTTTTTGTGTGAATCATATAATCAATTCAATGTATATATTCAATTATTTAACTAGATTTTTTTGGTCTCATTTTCTTTTAAATTTGTGGTTTTTTAATATAATTTTACTTAAGAAAATTTAAATTTTATATGATCAATAATCTATATCTTGAAGTTTTTTACTAAAAAATTTACAAAAATCACAAGAATTAAACACCGAGAACCACAAACGATAATCACACATCGATGTAAATGGTTCACCTACGCATGAGATGAATCACATACATTTCCATAAGTCCACGGCCGAGATAAAATTGTCACTTAAGTGAGAATGTTACATCACTACTCCATAGCTAAGTTCTTCAATTTCCCTCCCGGCAGGTGTACATGTGAGAGTAAACTGAAACAGGATCATCCTATGGTTAAGTATCTCAAACCTTAACAAGAATGTAAGTCTAACTACGGTTAAGAAGACAAGGATTAAGATAAAAGAAAATAATTTACTTAATTGAATCCGAAAAAATGACATAAACGCAATTTTTTTTTTAAAAATTTTGGGTTAAGAGAGCTTGATATAAGAGCCCAAGATCAAATGAATACAAATGTGAGATAGTAAACAGTGGACATACAATCTAAATCTTAATTCAATCAGTATCAATCTACATTGTACTTTGGGATTCAATGGGTTGAGTGATCAAAAATACGATTTTCAAAATTGAAATCTATATAATTCTCCCGATAGGATAATAGTAATTCGTTTGCGATGGACTCTTCTGTAGGTGCTGCTGAAGTTCTTATTCGTCGTGCGCACTCCCTTTCTGAACAACATCACAAAAAAACTCGGCTTTTTATAGAGAATCGAACATTGAAGCGTTATGTAGATTATTATATGGTATAATCGAAGGGGGATCGATAGCAAATTACTGGCACACAGCGCGAACTTCATAAAATACAATACAAGAGAAAATAGAAGACAATGAGACACACACGTGGTTGTGAATACAGCCACTTTCCTTGAACCAAGAAAATGAAAAAAAAACCCTGCCGCAAAATTCTTAATACCGTAAAATGACTATAAGTTAAAGAAATAGGATTTGATTCAAAATGTTCAATAGAATCACTTCAAAGATAATAACAAGTAACATAAATATGGATGAATCCATCAATTAGATATATCAGAATGATAAAAGAAAAAAGTTAATTAAAATTATTACTATTTCGTATAATGACTTAACAGAAAAATTAATGCTCTTTGCAGAATTATAGTGTAGATATGTTGTATTTATGTATCTGTATTGTCAAAACGCATGATTGCAAGCCAAAAGAATACTGCTCAATACAGTTGAAAACCATTAGTAACAAAGTGATATTAATGAAGAGCAAGATGAAAATTATATCATGCATTGTACGAAGCATTATGAAATCAAAAACTATTGGCAAATTACAATAATAACTGATTTTTGTAAAAAAAATCTGAACTTACAGTGATGAGATTTTTGTTTCTATCATGCTCAGGAAAAAAGGTTGGAACTGGGAGGTATCAAATACAACACAATTAATAGTCTAGGATTTAATTTGTTGTAGCAAATGCAACAAATGTAACCATTTCACCTCATCCATTAGCACTTAATAAACCCTGTCAGTATTGATTTGGGTGGAATAGATATAATATGAAAGTTGAGTCAAGATCTTGCTCATGTATCTTATAGACTATAAGATACATGAGCAAGATCTTGACTATAAGTTATAGTTCGTAGATAACTTGATTCTTCAACATCTTGATGGGTTTTGAAGATGGGAGTTTGTCAAGCTCGTCAACAATCTCTTTCATCTTCTCCATCTTCTCTAAGAGATCATTTTCATTGTCTAGATGTTTGAAAGATAATTTCTTTGGAGAAAAATGTATGACTTGTAAAGTAATTGGCTGCTCCGGTTGATTTTGGTTCACAAACTCAATGCTAGCATTTCCAGTGCATGGTTCAACTTACTCTATCTGAATATCAAAATCTGATGAGAGAAAGTTGATTCTAGCTCCGGTGTACGGAGTCTGCATTAAAGATTTCTCTCCACGAAAATGCAATTTCTTCCACAAAGCATTGCTTTGACTATGACACTGTTGCAAAGAGATTAAGGATTTAGCCTTTGCAATATTCTTCATAAAGTACTACGTTGGTTTTTGGTATGGGTATACTAGATGCCCGTTGTAGTTAATTTCTAACTTTGTAAGTAATGCAACCGCAAGTCCTTACTTCTTGCAATTCTTTGTTTGACTCAAATTATCAAAGCTTATCCTTTTTACTTACTGATATATGGTGTTGATAAGAGGTCAATTAATCAAAACATCAAACCGAGATGGTTAAATCAATCATTAGAAGAGGCCAAGATTTGAAGTTAAAGTTTGCTACAATTCATGACAAGGTTGACAAATCTTTTTGAATCGTATGAAAAGGCATCAAGTACCATGACTGAAAATTACCTCTACGTACAAAAAGTAACGAATAGGACAAAGACTATGATTGAAAAGTACACCTACACAAGAAAAGTTAACAATAAGACTGTTATGTGCTTGGTGGGATATAATGTGGCTTTTTTTTGTTTGTTTCATATAGTTAATTTAGCTATATTTAAATGAGTTCTTTCTTTGTCCCATTTCTCATTTTGCATTTTATAACATATAGAGTTTTACGCTTTTCATGTTTACGTATAAATTCAAACCTATATGCACCTCGATTTTAACGTTGCTGGATGGAAACATAAAAGTCCAATTTTGAAGTCAAGAATCCATAACGATATTAAGTAGTTTTGATATCCTTTCTATTTATCAATTGCTGACGAAAAGGAACTCCGTATCGTGAAAAGTGGAAAGTCTGATCAATAACATCTATATAAGTAATAAGATTAAAATTGCACGTCTGTCGAATGCTATGATTGCATGTACCTTCACAAATCTGGTCAGTGAATCCAGTCTAGGCTCCAAAATCTTCACAGACTTCAAGATGAAACGGATCCATTACTGGAGCTAAATAGGTGGGAATTCGATTCGAGTCCCTCCCGGTCAACGATTGTGTCAAACTGCGCGACTAATCTGTCTGAGATCCGAGAATGTGGAGTTAAGGAGTGCCAGGAATGACCGGCAGATCTCCATGCCTGCAGCTGTCACTGGTGCACTGTAAATGAAACAACAAATGCAAAGTACTTCTGAAGGATTTTTAATTGACAGATACGAATGTCTAACTAAAGCCGACGAGTTCAGTTCACCTTGTATCTGGTCGTGGAGGTTCTGGACATTACAGGCCGGCCGGCTGGGTGAATAGAAGTGACATGAATAGATAAAGATATGGCAGCTGGACTGATCAAACCACCGAACACCAGCAGGCCCGGATTTAATACGTAATTTCGAATGTGCCACGGACTTGACGAAAGCTGGATATAATGAGATGCGGAGACCTGATTGATGCGGCGTCCATGCAGATTCACATACAGGTCCATCGTGTATCGAAGGCTTCGATAACGACTCGTACTGCCGAAAGCCTTCCCAATCCGCTAACGACAGTGAATTCGCTTCGAGAAAATATTTGTCTGGACTCAATCTTTTAATTCATCACTCTCCTCCGCAGCCGTCATTATTAATAGTTATTGTCATCATTGAAGTAGCAGTTCGTCCCAGACGTGATTTGCTACCCTACTCTCACGGGCTTTCTCCGTCTGCTCAGCTAGGCCGGACTCAAGCCAGCCGAGACCAATCGCACCTCGCTAGGGAGAAGCACAATTCCTTGAGGAATTGCAATAATTGCGGACATCTTGGAAGCGAGGCTCGCGGCGACTGTAACATCAGGATTCGAATCGGGCCCTTGAGCGGAGGTTATAATAATAGTTCTGATTAAAAGCGGAGGTAACTCGATGGGGACAAGTTCTCGACTGAAGTGTTGGCATGGACAACCACTCCGATGATTAATATTCATGAAAATTGGGCAGAATGGGAGCACAGCACTTGCACATGGGCCTACCTCCATATCTGATCTCAGGCTTCGCCGGCTTTGGAGAGTCCTCACCAGCAAGTATCACACTCTCACGATATCTAGCACGGAAAGGAACTTTTCAGAAGGAACTTTTGCTGCTACCGCAGACACGTCCTTCGTTGTACGCATCACAAGCATCCGTGCTGATCATGCTCGATGGACAACGGGAGCGAATATTCTAATTGCACAGGTCGGTCTGTAGAAATGACACATATCTGTGTACAGTCTTCTTCCATCCGAAGCTCGAAGCCTTCGAAGTCCATCATCTGTGGAGAAGACCCGAGAACTAGGGGATCTGTGGCCTACAGGCAGATGTTCTTCAGGACCCAGTGCACGTCTAAATCAGAAGGATGAAACGGTTCTGATTCACAAGAAAGACTCGGGTACGAGAATCTCCAATGGTCAAATCATCATAACACACCACGCCGACGATAGAAACTCGAACACCTTTAATCCAGTCTTAACAAGAGTAGAGAACAATCAGAACAAGCACAGTGACCAGAGCTCGTGCGTGCACAAGCGATCGGATGATTTCAACTGTGGAATTTGGTATTACTGATTGGCCTGTACAGATAAGATGTGGAACTACACACATCTGAGCTGCGCAGTTTCAGAGTCTACCCCTGTGTAAGTAAATGGTTGGATTGGACCGGGAGGTCCAGATGCTGACTGCTCTAAACTGCTCTACTAAGCAGTCCAAGGCCAGTTTCGGCTAATCTGAATACGCTGAAATTAGAAGAGGGTGGGTTTCACCCCAGACGCGATCTTCTACTTCCTCGATATATGAGTACAGCTCATATCGACCTACTTTGATCGACATATATTTTTTCTTCCGCTCCTATGCTTCCGCAGCCTTATTATATTTTTGTGCTCTTTTCTATTTCCGAAGGGTTAAGGCACTAGAATGTCAAATTTTTGTCAATTTTTCAAAATCTGCTTGCTCACGATGCCAAGGCTGATCTGATCACCGGACCTGTACAATTGTCACTACAGCTCGAAAGGCAGGCAACACTACAATCTCCTAGTACGAATGATTCGCAGCCGAAAAAATTAATTACAATTCGGCAATGCAATCGAGCCCGGTTGACTCGAATCGAGTCGAGTCCAACGCAGAACTCTCGTGGATCGTGGGGAGTGGGGAGGGGTGGGGGGATGGGGCATGGGGACGGGGGACGGGGGCGGGGCCATCCAACGGAGTCGGATGAGGAATGCAACGGTACAAGGTCGAGACGAGAGCGGGACCGAGCGAGCAGGCACGTGATTAGAAAGGCCTGTACATGTTCAGCTGCTCGCATGATTCGAATTGCGACGAGAAGTCTCTGTCTGCCTGAATTCGCTCCAACCTGTCCTCGTGGAGGTTGAGCAGGGCCACCATGTCCCCCTTGCCCGTCCGGTTGCTGCTGGGCATCATCGCGAACGCGTCGATGAGGTCGCGCGGCGGCGAGTTCCGGCCCGCGAACGACGGCTCGCCCCAGCCGAAGTCCATGTGGTAGATGGGAAACCGGTTCCAGAAGGTGGCCGCGACGTCGTGCCCCATGGAGTTCACGTGCTCGGACTTGGTCGAGCCGTCGAGCCCGTGCAACTCCACCCAGTCGATCAGAGATCGGAAGTACTCCCCGCTCACGCCGTTCACCGCCTTGCGGATCAACTGCGCGCCGTAGATCAGCGGCTCGCGGTGCAGCTTGTCCTCCGTGGTCACGGCGCAGGCGCTGCAGACCACGTTCCCGAAGTAGCCCTGCGGCATGCGCAGCCGCGACCGCCCGTCCACGAACATGAAGAACCGCGTCTGCCGGCCCTGCGACTGCTGCCCGATGTCGCGGTACCGCGCCCGCGCGAAGGCCCGCCACAGGAACGCCGACAGACACTCGGCGCTCGAGAACGGCTTCTCGCCGTCGCCCATCAGATACTGCGGGTGCGCCTTGCCCTCGTCCAGCACCGTGCGCTTCAGAGCCTCGACTTTGGCGCCGCTTATGCCCTTGACGGCCGTGACGGCGGGCTGGAACCCTGCGCCGGGCGCCTGCAGGTCCCTCGGCAGGCTCTTCGTGCTGTATCCCTCTTGGTTGACGAGGCTGGGATCCAGAGGCGTGCGCGGCGTCAGCAGCGACCGCGTGTGCACGGGCTTGAGCGAGATGGGCTTGCCCCGCGCCACCTCAGCCCACGACTCGACGAAGTGACAGCCGGAAAACCCATCGGCCACGGTGTGGTGCCAGTTCACGCCGAGCGCAATGCTGCCGCACTTGAATCGCGTGAGCTGAATTATGCACACGGGCATGGGGGTGAGCTGATCGGGCGTGTAGGGCGGCTTGCCGCCGATCAGGGATCGCGTAAAACTAGAGTTTAATCCTGAGAGGGCGGGCGTGGGTCGCAGTTCGCCGAACGCTTTGAGCTCGTGGTCCACGTCCACCTCCAGAAACAAAGCGCCCTCGTTGTTGCACAGCAGATCGCCCAGTCCGTCTTCCCGAAGCGCTAGGCGCCCGGCGAGCGGGTAGAATTCATTCAGCACCTTGGCCAAAGAGCTCTTCAGAATCCCTGCCACATCGCCGCCGCCGCGTTCTTTCATCGAATTCGCTTCCTTCAGCATACCTGCCACCTTTTTCGCTTCGCCGCCGCCGCCACTGCCACTGCCACTCCCACTGCGTTCGTTCGCAATCGTCGTCGCCTTCCATTCCTTCATGGTCCGGGCATCGAAGTAGAGTATGAGCGAGGAGAACGTCGCATTCACCACCCGATCCAAGTTGCTCAGGGGCAGCCAGTGCGTCTGGCGCGGGCTCTCCGGGTACACCCATGTGCGCGTGACCTTGGCCCTCTTCAAGAACTTCTCCACTTGTGGCAAGGGTTCTTCCGGGTCCGCATCCACGCCGCTCGACTCCGATATGCTCGAATCTGCTCGTCGGCTCCATGGCCAGCTCACGTCATAGGCGTCAAGAGACCAGATTTTCGTCGAGAGTTTGGCGAACGTGCGAATCAGGCGAACGTGCACCCATAGCCGAAGGTACACAAATATTGCGCTAAACGCACATAGTAGAACGAATATGAAGCCCCGCCGGCCCTGTTTCTGCAGCTGGCCCTGCAGTTGTCCATAAATGTATGGACAGAAACAATATTTGATCATGCTGTAAGTAGGACTCGCGAGGTGAGTACGCGCAAAGTGCCGAACGAGTACCCCTGCCTGTCTTATACGCAGGCTCGGGCTACACACTTCGGACCGAATAATCAAGGGTCATGTCTCGATGTCTCATTCGAGGAGAACCGAGCTTGACCAGGCCGCTCGAGCGATACTCCCCGATCTTCCTCCAACTCACACAGACTCCGACAGCGAGAGAGACAAGAGATGAAGCGAGGGGTTTAGAAAAGCAAAGGTGTGTGAGGTTATAAAGAATTATTAACACAAAGAATGCACGGAACGATGAATGAATGGCAATGGCAATGGCAATAAGTGAAAATTGATCAAATGGCGTGTCGGGGGCAGATGCTGTTCGCCCCCTCTGTCACAAACCACTTTTATCGAAGGCAAGCGCTGAGTGATCGCTGAGGATCACTCGATGTTTGACTAGAAATGGGGACACACTGCGGACGAGACTAAGGGAACAAATTGTACGAACCCGTAGTCGGAAGGCTAGAAATTTACGCTTTTGGGCCTTCGCGCACGTAAAACTGAAACCACACCCAATATATGGAGCACGGTCCGACGAGGCGTGCGAGATGCAAGGCTTCTACGCACAAATGCTCTCCGAGACGCTGAGGGATGAGCAGGGAGGGAGAGAGAGAGAGAGAGAGGAGTGGGGATGAAGGCGACACAACGTCACGAGAAAAGCACGAGGGAGGAGTGAGAGTTCGATTTCTTTCCCGGGGTTGTTGCTAGCTGAAGTGCTGCCGAAGATAAGAGCCGGCACGCACATGCAGCCCTGAGCTAGCAACCGGGGGATCGTTCGTAAGCAAGCAAGCAATCACCCCAGTACGATACGAAACGACGAATCGTAAAACAAATTGATAAGAAGGGGAACCAAACTGTACTCAACACCAAGCTAAAGGCTCACTAAAGGAGACAGTCTGGGGACGGGAGGAACTGCTGGAATGTGTGTGCGGAGGACGATGAATGAACTCACCAAACGGAGCATATATATCTGGCTCAAACGAGAATCTAGCTCGCGAGCTGTGCTACCCTCCCCGCGAGCACTATTCTACTTCGGCCCTCCAATAGTGGAGGAACTAGATTTCCCTACCTGCACAAAATTTCAAATAATCCAAATTTCTATGCTGCATCACATGATGCTCAGGTCCAACACCCAGGGCCCTCCGCCCCCTCTCTCTCGTGAGTCTGACCCCCACCCCGTCGTCAGCCTCAATGTCCCCGGCTGGGCCCCCCTCCCTCACCTTCCCGTTCCGTCTCGCCACTCGACCGCTCTCAACTCTCGTCCCGACCTCACGCTGCCTGCGACGGTCGTCGTCCACCGCGGGCAGACAGAAAAAATCTCATCGGTCGTTTCGTCATCTCTTCTGGATGTTGTTCATCCTTCCGCTTCGCTCGCCCTCTCGCCAGAAGCCCCGAAGATCCTCCCTCCATTCCCGCTATTGATTGTTCTCCGGACACTCAGACACAGGCACGATCTGCACCGAAATTCTCACTATTCAATCATCGCTTGACACGGTCTTCCCAGCTGTTCGTGAGATTTCGCTGTACTGTGGTTGTCTTGTGCGCTTGATTGATTGATGTGCAGTGACTGCACCTTCTCTGATCCCTATGCACCACCCGTACGTACTGCAGCTCGCTAGCGCTGCCCCGGGCACGAGAAATCTCTCGCGCTAACTTCAACTAAATCAAGGGCCTCCTCGCTGACGGTCTCTGGACTCCAGAGCAGAAGCAAATTTGCTCCGCCAGCCGCCACCTTGCTCCGTTCGTTGCCCTCCCGTCTTCCTGGGCCTCAATCTCAGACCCGATCGTGTCGACGTGGCCTCCCATGTCCGCGATCGGCTGATCTCAGCCGTCCGAGCCATTATTATCGTCACCGTGCTGCGGTCATGGGCAGTCTACTTCGCATCTCAACCCGTTAGTCCATAGTCGGCGAGAGGCAGCATCATTTTAGAGCTACCTTGCAATCAAACTGTTCTGGAGTTCGGCTTCGAAGAAACTGTGCGGCCTGGGGCTTTCATGATCGAATATAATGACCTGGTTCGCAGACTCTAGTTACAATAACCACACCGAAAACTCTTTTTGGCATTTATGGACGTTCGTTTCTTTCAATATTTTATGGGTTGAGAAAAGGCACCCAAACAGTGCATTATTCTACTTCGTCAAGATTCCGGCCTTCCAAAAATCTATCTACGTTGGGTCTTGGACTCTTTTCTTACTATAAAACAAAATATTTTTCTCCTATAGACTTAACGGATATTCTGAATGAATTTACGGGTAAATTTTCGTTTCCGTAAGTTTTGTATGCATATGCTTTCAGACCCCCTATTATGAAGATACAAATGATGATAAATTCAGCGGACGTAAGTCGTAACATGACTTTTCCTATCAGGACTTAAGAAAAAACTGAGGAATCAAACACAACCGACAAACTAAAAATAATAATATTGGATTTGTCTAAAGAAAATTGGTCCGAACTATGGAATGACCAGTGATGGTGGTGATGATTATGACACGTGGCTTAACTGGCTAGTAATGATCACAACTGAATGTTTTATTATGGACCATTTTTTGAAAGGCGTTTAGGATCTAAAAGTAATGTAGACTTTTTAATCAACTTTTCGGGACTTTACATCATTTTATAGTTAAATTCATTGTAAGATGCTCACTAGACAAGATGCGACGATTAAATTAAACGAAAGAGAAAATGCTAATACTTTTAGTAAAGATCTTTAAGAAAGGTCAACATGTACCAAAGAAGTTTCTCAGGAGATTAAGGTCAATTATAAGTGAGCTGGAGTTAACTTGGAGTCTGAATCTACTGAGCTGATTCCATCGCCGTGGACAACTTAAATGTATCTCGTGGACGCATTAGGGGCGGCAAGTTGGGGTACACTCTGAGTGTGGACTCTTAGAAGACGAGGCAAGGCAAATCTGCGCTGGAGGAGGAAAAACGAGGGCCATCACAGTCCGATAAGACATCCGAGGGAGGTGTTATCGCTCTTATGCGACAGATCATTACATGGAACGTTGCTATGGTGATGACAATCATTCAACGCGCAGCATAAAGCGCATTTCTCGTATCAGAAGAGATTCTGCAGTAATCTGCAATCGTGCTCCAGGTGCTTTTAGATTTGGTCTCCATCATATTCGCTATCCACTCATGGACATCGGCCCTCGTTTCAGACGGACTGAGATAGCTTCTGTCCCTCCATAGGACCATACACTGTAAATCCGTTTGAACAACATTCAATTCTAGCACCATCGCAAGGTTGGGAACGTGAGGTCGCCGAGGATTGCGACGACTCTTCGTAACAGGTTTCCTTTCGGCTACAGTCTAGATGGTATAGTACATGTCCGTAGGTTGACGATTTATGATCGAGAGAAAAGTCTGAGGGATCAATTGCAGAGAATATTCAGCGACAGGGACTGAAAGTGGGAGTGCTGCAAAGGAGCACAGAGAAACAAGGCGAATAGATTCGTTACTGAGAAGAGCTCGAGGAACGTATCTAGGCTCCAGAACCTCCAAAGCAAGGACTGGGCCGAACTGTGGAATGATGCAGATCCTGGATCCACCTCATGACCAAGACTCGGAATCTCCAAGTAAGGGACGATCGCCTGTAGACTTCAAAACACCAAATCAATCTGCCAGTCACAGAAGAGGCTGGCAAAGGGTTTAGCTTGGAAAGCCAGTGAAAGAAGAAGCTGGCTGGTTGGGAGAAGTTTCACCATGATATGGCTGGCCGTGAACGCAGTCTCTGGAGAGAACTCAGAGAAAGCGCCTGCAATGTCCCAAACCTGAAGGCTAATAGCTGATTCTCGAAAGTCTAGTCTTTAAGACTCCGACCCTTGTAGGGCTCATTCATCTGTAAGGAGGATCTGAAATTCCGAACTTTGATCCTTCACTTTGACGTGGGTATCTCAGTTGTGGATTGTCGCTTTCGTCCGAATCTTGTCAATAATGCTAGCATACATATTGCACTGTACTCAGCTCCAACCGAGAATATAAAACTCGACGTTCGTGCTGAGAACTGATCCTGGAGATTGAGCTTGACAAACATGAGAAACTTCACGGCACAGAAGAAGGTTCAGGTTCTTTCTGAGCACACTTTATGAGAGTGCGCGCGCATGGCTCCAGGCAGGATTACGCATTATGGAACCGAAGTCTTCTTATTTCCACCGTCCTATGACCTACATAAGCCATACGTCAGCGACGTGAACGTTTACTTCTCGACTACTCAAATGTCCTCGTGCGCCATTTCTAGAGCGCAAAAGTTGACATCGCTCCGTGTCTTGTTCCCTGGTGGAGAATCATCTGGACTCACTCCAGCCTTTTCGCCATATTCATCGCCCACCTTGCCTTGTTTTCCGAAGGTTCGAGCTCGAGCTCAAAGATGGAGGCGCTTCTGAATCGGGATCTAAGTGGCCCGAGCGAAGAGACTGCGACCACTCTGAGACCTTGAGAAGATCGACTCCTGACATCATCTTCGGCCTAATTTGAAGGCACGACCCGTCAATTACTCCTCGAACGATCTCATACGGCGTACGGTGGAAGTACGTGGTTGTGGTCCATCTATCTGATCCCTGCGGTGAACCTGACCGAGTTGCTGCATACGCAGCATTACTGTGAGAAATTATAGCTAACGATGATCTTAAGGATCATAGTTAGCTGGAAATTAAATTCGTACATCAGTCACGGACTGATCTTAGAGGAAAATTGAGAACACCATCTTAAACATCCTCCAGTCACTCGATTCTATCCACACCGAAATTAACATCAGAAATCAATTTCGCTATTCCCGTACTTCGAGTGACTACGTAAGTCTGAAGAACCCGATCGTCCTCATATACTTCGTCCGGTCTAAGAACGACGAAGGCACGTTCCGGTTGTTTGTGACTTTCGGGAGTTTTTAGAAATGAGAAATATTGTACCCACTGATTAAACTTCAAAATAACATTGTGTTCAATTTATTGGTAATCACATCATATTACGTCAATTTGCACCAGTGGGCAATATTTTGTTCTAGGACGTTATCTCTTGTGACACCCGCCTGCCCGTTGTCCCCTGAGGCCATTCGAGGGCGACGAGAGTCAAGAACGTTTCTCTTTCATCGATTGCGGTATCCATGTACAGCGGCGAATGCTAGTGCCATGTAAGCATGCCACCGACACGTCATCATCTCACACGTGACGTGGTGATGGAACTCCTACTAGTCTATATCGGACCGGTTGACAACTCTGAATGCCTTGTTCGTCCCCACCAGGAACTGTGGTACGTTCTGCGTCCAAATGCAAGTGAGTGAAATTAAGTGAAAACGATGTCATTGCCTTGTCTCAGAAGTTCAGAGTTTTCATTACAGTACACGGTCGGAGGGACCTGAACAAAAGCGTGTGAACGGAAATCGCATACTCCTCCTGCTAGTGATTCACAGTAAGAGGCCACTGCATGCTCAGCAGGAAAGTAAGGAGGTCCTGAGTTGTGGGTACAGCTTTGTCCTGACCAGGTCCTTCCGGTTATATGGGAAATAACGATTTTCAAGAGATTCGTGCAGCTTCAACAGGAGTTCCCAGGTTAAACACGGCAGAGAGTGCTCGACACTCGTATTAGATGAACCTTGTTACAGCAGCCACACAGTACGTTCTGCGAGCGTCCAAACTATCGATATCGTCCTAAGGTCTGCACTGCTCTATGTTTTGTTTGCGTCAAAGTACCAGTATACTCTGAATCTGCGATTCGATTCTTTTGCAATTTCGTCATTTTATGAACTCTTGCCGATATGAACATCAATGATGGCCATTATCAGGTCTCCTAACGGTATGAGGATCTTTTTTGCATTATAGTATCTCTTCCACTCTGTACAACCTAACTTTTAATATTCCAAAGGCCTTGACATCCGAATAGACGCCTGAGATCTGGTATACTGTATAACGAAATCAAGGTGCAAAATACTCATCACGCCCTTC